TATATATATAGGCAAAGTGAATGATGAAAGTGAATGACGAAAATGAATGACAAGCATGTGAAATATATATATATATATATATATATACACAGAGAGAGAGAGAGAGATACTTATCTATCTTCATTTTCTGTGGGGAAAAAGATGCCTTCTAGGGCTTATTAAAAATAAGGGTCCTTTATTGCTAAATGCTAGTGTTTTGTTTAGTTTCATTTTGGTTTGGTTTTTGCCCACCTCTACCTCGAGAAGCTGGGAAGGCTATTTTTTTTTTTAATAATTTTTTTATTGTTATGTTAACCACCATACATTACATCATTAGTTTTTGATGCAGTGTTCCATGATTCATTGTTTGTGCATAACACCCAGTGCTCCACGCAGAATGTGCCCTCTTTAATACCCATCACCAGGCTAACCCATCCCCCCACCCCCCTCCCCTCTAGAACCCTCAGTTTGTTTTTCAGAGTCCATCGTCTCTAATGGTTCGTCTCCCCCTCCGACTTACTCCCCTTCATTCTTCCCCTCCTGCTATCTTCTTCTTCTTCGGGAAGGCTATTTTGTAAAGAAATGTGTAGCATGAAGTTGTTTCATTAACATCTCTGTCTCAACTATAATTATGCTTGTTTCTGATTATAAAAATAATGTTGGCTATAAAAATTTATCAAGTACACAAGGGGGTAACAATTAAAATTTCAAACCCACCAGTCTGCAATAAACACTTAGTGCTTCCTTTCGATTTGTTTTCTACATGAATTTATTTAAAATTGGTATAATTATGCCTCATACTTTAGTCAATTAATGTTACAGTCTGAGAATCTTTCAGTGTTATCAAATATTTTTAAAACACAATTTCTACTTGTTATATAAAGTATAGTATCTCCATTTTCCATAAAATGAAGTATGATATCTTATCTTCTGTTTAACACTGGAATGTCCTCAATTTATGCGATTGAAACAATACTGTAATAAACACTTATATGTGAATCTTTGTCCAATTTGTCTACATCTCTGATATTTCTGTATAATTCATAAATAACTAGTCTCCCATCTCCATCACTCTTCAACTGTATTTCAAAGAAGAGTTTGATTACTTATTTAACATTTCTTTCAGGGACAAGTTCAGAGATAGCTTCCATGGTGTTGCTGTTAAGTTGGGTGATATTCATTTCATTATTAAACTTAAAAATGTACCAATTCCTTTTTTATGAATCAAAGATCAGGTGATTTTTTATTAAATAAAGGCACCTGGCATCATATTACTTACTTTATCTTTACATAAAAATAGATATCAGTAAATGGTAGCTTTTGTTACTATAATAACCACCTACTTTTGGTTCCCCTATGCATACAATCCTCTAAACCCTAGCAAAATAGTTGCTCCTACTGAGCTATATGAGTATATATTGACCAATGTATTTGTCAAGTATCAACTATGGTCTTTGTACTGTGATAAGTACTAGTTCTTCCCAAATCATCTGAAATACTTTTGTTTTGTAATACTTGTTATTGTTCTATAATACTTATTATTGTTTTTATTCTTTTCATATTTGTAAACTGAAATCCTAAGATATACAGCAATCTCCCCATAGGGAAATTCCAAAGTCCATGCTGTTATTGCTATACATCACTATTGTCTATGGTGGCTGAAATCCCACATAGAAACCTGAAATATTCTAAGAGGCATATGTACTGTTTCTATATCATCCATCCCTTAAATATATTTATATATTTCTTTGGAACAAAAAGTAGAGTGCAAAAAGTGAATCCTGAATGTATGACAAAGACAGGGCATTTTCTCACACTGTGGATTAATAAACCTCTAGTAATGGATGAATGTCTATTTCAAAGACAAGGAAAGAATTTTGCCAGAGATTCTCTCAGCTGATCAATAGTATATAAAATTGAAATGTAGGGTATACATGCATGAGTTTGCATGTTTCGGAGATTGAAAAAGATAACTAGGAAAAAGCCAAAACACATTAGCAAAAACAAAACCCACAGAAAATAATAAGGATAGCATAAACCTACAGGATGATTCAGCAACAATACGTGATAGATTTCAAGAATGTCAACTTAAGAGAACTGAATTAATATGGAATCGAATTTACTGAATTGAACTTTTATAAATGCTATTCAGTAAATTGGATAACAACCTATGCAATCTATACCATCCTAGAGTTTAGAATGGCAAGCCAAGAGAGTACTTAAGATTTTAGAAATCATTTCTTAAAGATTTAGGGAAAATATCAAGGATATTAGGAAATCTTGGATCTTAGAATAGATCTAAACATATGTTAAAATAAGTAAAGACTTAGCCAAATTATACTCAAGAGTACTGAAAAAGCATGCAGATGTAGGTGTAGAAACACTGAGAGCAGTATTTTTCAAACCAGGTATAATTAGAGAAATAGCAAAGTTCCAAGATAAACAAATGTCCCATTGTTTGAAGAAACTGAAATTTTCAAAACTGTGAAATCTGATAAGCTAAGCATCAACACCCATAAATATTCCCAAATGTATTATTCATAAAAATCAGCATGAGTTCATCAGGAATCAATCTATAAATTATTATCAAGAGTCTCTTCTAGTAGTCCTTTATTTTCATCATGATTATTATGTGTTAAATTATGCAATTCACATACTTAGAGAAAAGAGGTGAAAGAAAGTGAAACGGATGGCTAGTTCAATGGATAACATTTAAAAATATCCTGAGCATATACAACAATAGAGTTAAATAAAAGTTAGGATTTTAAATTGTGATCAATGTAAAGTCTGTATTTAGATTCAAACATTCAGTAAGTATTCTCCAGAGGATAGAGACCTGGTATACCAGTGGTTCCTGTAAAAAACACTTGGGATGTGAAATAACTAACTATAAATTCTGTATGCATAAATATTGTGAATGACCAAAAATGGAGATAATTCAAGTATTTTAATATATATTAATAGAGTATTATCCCAATCATGGGTAATAATAATTTCAAAATTTTAATTTGTATCAAGCAAATTAGTGCTGAGGATTAAAAAAATATTTAAGACACTATCTTTTCTTTAATGGATCTCACAGTCCAAGAGTGGAAACAAACAGAAAAAGAAAATTACAACTAAAATATTGGTTAGTTATGGCAATATAATTAAATAATATTTGGAGTATAATTTTTAATTCTCATCACTTAATCTTATTTTTTTTTAATTTTATCTATTTATTTGAGAGAGAGAGAGCACGAGCAGGGGCAGGGGCAGAAGGAGAGGGAGAAGCCGACTCCCCGCTCAGAACCCAACTACATAGGGCTCCATCCCAGGACCCGAAGGCAGATGCTCAATAGACTGAGCCACCCAGGCGAACCCTCTCATCACTTAATTTTAAAAAACACCATCATTATTTAGTATTAAAAAATACAATGTAGTATGCCAGGCTCTTTCTCTGACAAAAACAAACAAAAAACCCCCAAAACTTAGTATACTTATTTTATAAATGAAACTACTGGATTGAGATTTAAACAAACAAACAAAAATCTACCCATAGACAAATAGCTAGTGAGTGTTCAAGCTGAGAAAGGAACACAGATTTTTCTGCCTTGGATTACTGCTCTTAAAATAAGATCAGCACTTATTAAAGTCCATCCGGCTGAAACAGTGTTTCATGAGTATTAAGTATTATACACCCAAAGGAAAAGATTTCGCAGTCAAATAATTTTGATGAAGACTAGGTTTCTTTACTCTAAAGCTTTCTTAAGACTTTAATATTCTGATGTGCACTGTGAATCTCCTAGAGAATGGTCTAACAGGTAGGAATTTCAAATGCATTTGACCTCAGAAGCTTTTTTTTTTTAAATATTTACTTATTTATTTATTTGAGAGAGAGAATGAGATAGAGAGAGAGAACATGAGGGGGGAAGGGTCAGAGGGAGAAGCAGACTCCCCGCTGAGCAGGGAGCCCAATGCGGGACTCGATCCTGGGACTCCAGGATCATGACCTGAGCTGAAGGCAGTCGCTTAACCAACTGAGCCACCCAGGCGCCCGACCTCAGAAGCTTTTTATTCTTTTTTCTTCATTGAGCATTATGAGGGGCTACTGTCCCATTGAGCACCCATTTGGGAACTCTGGCACTCTCGAAGACCAAGAGAAATCTAAACATCAGAGACTAGAAATATTCAACAAGGAGAGGGAGGAGCCTTGGAGGGGACAAGATAGTTGTCTTTAAATATCTGTCTCATCAAAGAAAGACATACCATTTCACCAAAGGGAAGATCTAGATCTAATGAATGGAAGCTACTGGAGACAGATTTCACCTCAATATGACATATCAATTAAGAGTTAAAAAAACAAAAACAATAGAAGAGCTGTCCAACAAAGGTGGCTTATCACCTATAAAGGTGTTACCCAAGAGACTTCTTCACTGGGGGAAAGGCCTGAGAACTACACTAAGCTTCTTTTCAACTCTTCTATTTGATGGTTCATTTGCAGTAATTATCAACTGAAGTTTTCATATATTTAGCATTTCAGGTTATCTGTCCATTTTTGCACCATTTGAATTAACCATTTTACAGACAGAAGACATACAGGTCAATGGTCAGAACCTGTTGCAAATGTAATGCCTTATATCAAAATACGCATAACAACACACATGCAATTTACATTTATGCCAGGGTGAAATAAAGCTGCTCTTCTCTAACTTACAAAACACCAAGTTATTTAAATTATTTTAATTATCAATTTTACATGTGCATACTAAAATGGAAATTTTCTCATTTACAAAATGAGACAAGGGACCTGGGAAGCATGAAACCATCTAGTATACAGATTGGTGTCAGGAGGACAGAAAAGCTAGGGAATGTGGAAGGCATTTTTCAGATCAATTACTCTTATTTTCAATGTGTCTATACCTGGCTCTCAATGTCATTACATCCAAAGAAAACATGATTTGATAGATCACATGGATTATCAATGGCTTTTACTACAATTAACCTTTGTTTGCATAGTAAGTTAGGTATAAAGTCGTTACCTATTTGTGTATTCCTTGATGATCTGATATATGCTAATCTTAATTGTTTCATTTTCAAATCGACTATTGCTCTGGTCCTTGTATATTCGGAATTCAGCTGCTGTCACTGCTTCTCCATGAGGAATTTGAGTCAGATCAAACCGGAATTCTTTGTAATGCCTTCGCTGGTGAGAAAAATCCTTGTCTCTTTCAACTGGAAGAAGAAGAAAAAAAAAAAAAAGGAAGGAAAAAAGTTAGTCCTTTATAAAATATGGAAATTAATGGTAAATTCTCCAGCTTTGAAAATGAAGACAAACAAGTAAGATATTATAAAACGGAGAAAACACTAGAACCACAGACCCATACATGTTTCCAGTGGAAGGAAATTCCACAAACCAACAACATTTAGTTCAAAAGCAATATAACCTCTGTGGTTTCATACAAATTCCTGGATCTTAAATAGAAAGGCTAACCAAAAATGTTTTAAAAAGCAAAGGTTATAAAATGATTACTAGTATGTATCAGGTACCAGAACACAGAAGGGTTCATACAGGAATTAGGAATACGTTATAGAAACCCCAGGGATCCAGGTGAAATCAGTGATGAGATTTAGCACACCTGAGGGAGGAAAATAGGAAGGACTGAGAAATTGCAGGCACATAAGGACTATGTTTATGACATTATAAAGGTCAAGTAAATAAAACAAATTTATGTTCACAAGAAAGATTACTTCTAAAATGCCTTCCCCAGAAGAATTTTTTTCTCCTTTTAGCAAATAAAATGTTCTTTTATTTTTAAAAAAATAACACTTTTATTACTTCTTATAGATTGTTTAGTACAACCTCTTTACCCATGGTGCAGCATAAAGCCTTCCAAAGATCTCTGTCTGTTCTTACTCAAAATAGAGGGAAACATATTTTTCCCCTTCAACAACCTTCCTGCTAAATGAAGTCAGAGAACTTTTCCTCTTGGGAACATTATGGAATGTTGAAGAATTCAGGACAGTAAGTGTCAGGCATATTATTATATAACCTGGCTTTGTAAAATAGAGTATTATTTCATAAGTCTATATCCACTGGGCACCAAACACCTTCTTAAGGAATTATCTATTCAAAGGACTCGTTTTAGTCCTGCACTATCATTTGATGGAGTTATGTTTCTCAATATTGGTAGCTTTCTCAAAATCTCAGTTATCTAGGATACTACAGGACAGGATCACAAAAATCTCACTCCAAAGCACTGTGCACAAGGTATCTCATAACTACAGCCTGCAATCACACTTGTGCACATTCTCAGTAATGTGTTTCATTGCTAAAATTGTGTTGCAAGAAGATAAAGAAATGTATAAATTGTGTAAATGAATTCACAAGTTGAAAAAGTTGCATGAAAATATGAAAATATCTTGAGGTGCTTCATTGAAATCATATCAACACTGCTATAAGTATCTGAAACTTGGGGTCCTAAACTAGAGGAAGGATTAAGATTAAGGAAGAGAGAAGAGGGTCATGCCCATCCAGGAATGACTGTGGAAGCCAAGGCTGCTAGAACTCTGTGTTCCATGGCCAGATGAGATCCATGTCCATGAAGAAGCTCATGACAAAGGAGTGCATGATTCCTTGCCTTCATCCTTCAAAACAATCTTCGGCTTATTTTCCCCAGGAGGAGGAGGTGGTTTAGGAGAGCAAGGAGCTCATCTCCACCCCTACCTCCCATACCTAAGCCAGCAAAGAAAATTATAAACCACACCTAGGGGCATTTTTGTCCTGTGGTGCTTGGCAAGGATGGTGCTCTTCAGCTGTCTGGCTCAAGGTGATACCACCTCATCTGACTCGTTTTGTTTTTTTTTTTTAAATATCACTATCTTGGTCCTTGGACCTAAGAAAGGTCCACTCCCAGGGAGATCATTCATCAACTTTTCCCTAAATAAGGAAGGTAATCTCATTTTTAGGATGCTATTTTGGTCCATAATTTTAAACTTCTTTTCTGTCTAATCTTCTACTGGCAATAGCATAGACTGGTGTGAACACATCTCCCGTGGCTCTGTTTGCCCATTCTCCCGACTCAGCCATGTAAGAGGGAAAGCATAAGGGTAGAAAATGCCTACATCTAATAAATGAAAGTGACTTCAAACTTGCCATGTTAAAACGTGCCACAACTTTTGTTTACAGAATACTGAACTTAATTCCCTGCAAACCTATTCTTTTCTGATTCTAAATTAAGTAGATGATATTATAAAGCAGTATTTAAATAGCACTCATTATATTCTAGTCCTGTTCTAAGCATTGTGTTAATATTAACATATTATACTTTGTAACAACCAGTGAGGTAGGTTCTACTATTATCCTCACATTGAAGATGAAGTAACTGAGGAGGCAGAGAGAATAAATACCCAAGAATATGAATCAAGCATTTGAGGCCACCAGGCTATGAAATCTGAAATCTCAGATACACAAGTCCAAAATCCCAAAAGCTCTGAAAACTGAATGTTTGTCTTCAGGTTAATTTGGCAGAAGAACTGGAAATTAGCTGATTTGAGGCAACTTAAAGTCTCTATTTATCCCACTTTATATAAATATTTATTGCTTTGCTGCAGAAATGTTCATGTGTTTGACTAGGTTGCACTGTTGCAGACTCTGCTTGAGGAGTTCCATCTTTTATCATAAATGCACCAACCAGCCATTCAAAAATATATTTTTCTATTCTGAAAGTCAATATTTAAAATTCCAAATAACAATCATCATGCAATTTTTCATTAACAATCAATTTTATATTTGAAATTTAGACCAAAAAAAAAAAAAAACCCTATAGTCCTCAAAATAAGGCCTGAGACATGAGTTTGTTAGAATCCAATCTAAAGCATGCACCTGCATAATGCAAATAAGTATTGAATTCATGTTATGTAAAGTCATCTACTGTTCTGGAATCCCCTGTGAGATGTTAGTATAATAAAGTGGAAAGCTAGAATTTCAGCTGTTATTATAAAATTTCAGTTTTCTAATCCAGGCTATTTAACCTAACCCCTTAAGGGGGCAAATTTTCAAAGAGTTTAATAAAATTTTATATTAAATATACCACACAAAATAAAGTTGCAGTGCAGATTTGTTCAGTGACTCAAATTCTTATATCCTATTGCTTTGAATTATAATTGCACTAGTAAATGCCATGGGACATGTTGGAGTGAATAATGGAATAAAACTTATATTTATATAGCCTTGCACTCCTAATGATGCTCACAAATATTCACAAGGTAATCTCAGTTACCTCAAAGAGCAAGGCTAGGGAGGTGTCAAATATTAATACCCCTAATTTAAGAATAAGAAATTGGGTGATGACAGCTAGGTGGTAACAGATGTCTGTCTTCTAAAGCTCACTATAAATCTTTGCTCAATGTCCATACCACCTACATAATGACATCCTACGGTTCTGTACTTAGAGACTAGTTCATAGCTAGTATATTTTTACAATGTTTCTCAGCAGTACACAAAAAGGTGGAGAATAGGCTGGAGAATCAAGGGCTTGATCAACAATGGTTAATTAGCATCTAACACAAACAATGCTTGATTCAAAGAAGTCTTCTAATAAATACTGAACAGAAGAGTGTATGAATGGATGAAAATATGACTCTATCTCTTCACTAAGTATCATCCTGCTGCATTACCTGTTGAGGAAAGGCATGATAATTTCTTTAACTCTCATTTGTTTGGTACATACTTCATTTAATCCTCATACCTCATTTATGTCTCCAAGTTTCTATAATTTGCCCCAAAGCCCACTATGAATAATTGGGAGAGAACAAATTTCATTCCACAGTCAAGAATTCAATTCCCAGGGCGCCTGGGTGGTTCAGTCAGTTAAGTGTCTGCCTTCGGCTTAGGTCATGATCCCAGGGTCCTGGGATCGAGCCCCACATCGGGCTCCCTGCTCAGTGGGGAGCCTGCTTCTCCCTCTCCCTCTGCTGTTCCCCCTGCTTGTGTGCACTCTCTCTCTGTCAAATAAATAAATAAAATTAAAAAAAAAAGAATTCAATCCCCAAGCCCTCAACAACATAACACTGTGTTTTTTTCCTAGATGTGGTTTTGTTTTATCTCATTATCACTCAGCAAAGTTGATCTTTCAATGCTTTCATTCTCCTCTATGATGCTCCTACTCTATAGAAGATGCCATACTTTCTGGACTCTGCTCATTCTTCTAGAACTCAATCCCTCCAATCTTTATTGTAGTAAATGTCGTGTTATATTCACTTATTTAATATTGATGCCATTTCTTATCTAAGGAAATTTTTATGAATAAGCAAGTGATCGTATTCATAATTTGAATTAATATTATGTAACATCTGTATTAGCATGCAAGGTCATCCTCTTATTACAACCATATTTTAAAATAATTGTAACTGACCAGCTGGAACTTTCCATATTCCAACCTTTTCTCCACCAGACCTACTACTAAAACTATCCTCCCAAAACAGATGAAAAAGAACATACAGACATGTTTTATATCCCTTAAGTATAAGCTTGCTATAGGAGATATCCCTGCCGTGTTTATATCTAATGATTTGGGTACATATTAAGCATTGTTTCACCATATATTACAGTGTCCTATAACCCACTGCAGTTATAAATGGCTTGGAAAGCTTAAAAGATAAACAAATAAACAAGAAAATAATCAGGAAATATATACGATTTTTGTTTTTTTAATTCATATTGTATTAAATATTTGGGCCTCTCAATTCACTCTTTAATTTAAATGTTCTATCAACTAAATCCCATGAGATTCCTCAATCACCTTTATCATCATTTCTAATAAAATCTGTATTGCCGAGTTAAAATATGTAAGACTCCAAAAAATCATAATTACATTCCTATTGGGTGGTAGAAAAGACTCTCTTAATCACTGGACAAACAAAAAACAAACAAAAAAACAAAAATGAAGGCAGGAGGTTTAGCTCATTGAAAGCAGATCCAGATTTGTCAAGGGGATAGAATGACACATGTTAAAACATACTGAGGTCAGGAGGTTGACACTTTTCTCTAGTGAAGACCATTCCTTTATCCCATACCACAGACACCATTTCTCTGCTGTGAAGTGGAAAAGAGAGTTTGGGAACACACGTAAGTAGATTTAAAACACACATCTGTATCAATCAATTCACCTATGAAAATTGCATTTAAAAAGAGAACACAGTGACCTGCCCAGACTGCTATTTTCATATCTGCT